TAGGTTAAATATAAAAAGGATATATGCAATTTTAAGTTCAAAATTAGGAAAGTATTTGTGAACTGTATGACAGTTAAAGGATAATATCTGTCAACTATACATCACTAAAGGAACAATCTTTATTTTTCAGAATAAAATCAAGAACTATTTAAGAGTTGATCAAGCCTTTGGACACTAAACAAAATTTTTCAAAACATTAACAAAAAGAAAGCAGTCTCTGATATTAATGCAACGGAGTGAGGTATCTTTAAACAGTTTTTAAAGTGAGGTATCTTTAAAAACTATCCACTTTGTCTAGTGGACAAACAGTTTTTAAAGATCCCTCACTTTAAAAAGTTTTTGTTCAAGGCTAACTACACTCCTCTTTGTCTAGTGAGCCCACAGCTGTTAACAAGTGTTAACAAGTACTAACAGCTGTGGGCTCACTAGACAAAGAGGAGTGTAGTTAGCCTTGAACAAAAAGGAACTGAAGGAAGACCCTGGAAAAGATCAAAAGTGACTCCATTTTATGGAGAGAAACAATTTATAACATGTAGTATCTCAGCTGATTAGAAGAACTAAAAAGAGAAGCTCACACGTGTGCATCAGAAGGAAAATGAAAAGAGTGAAGTTTATTTCAAGGAAGAAAGGAAAATTGCAGATATAAATTTTCTGTTTAGTTAGCTCAAGCCTGGCTAGCCACAATGTGATTTTAAGATCATTAGTTACAACTGGTTAGAAAAAAATGCTTCTACCTATGATAAATTTCTTCCCAAGATTAAAATCTTGTTTTTAGAGGCAATTTCCTACATTTTGAAAAAATCAAAATAATTTAAATAAGTTCAGGTGAGGTTAGAAAAAAAAACAAAAACAGGCAGCATTATTTTAAAGTTGAAAACTATTTCGTTTACTTATAGTTGAATTCACATATAGTAGATATGCATTTGTAAGGTTCTTCTGCTCAGGTAGGGATCCTTTTGCTTCCCACTGCACCCTACTTTATCCTCCCACCCTCAAATAATTGGATTTTCCCTTGGAAAAAAGATGCCAATAAAATTGATCATGTTTAAATTCATCCATTGCTAGATGATTTTTCTGATTAAGTCTTGAAATAGTACAACCTAGCAATTAAAGTGAGCATTATTTTCTACTTCACACATCAGAAAATTATTCTTTTTGAGAATTAAATGTTGAAAATATGTTCCATGAATTTACCGCGATTAAAAAGAAAAACAAACAAGCAAACAAAACAAGCCCAACTTCTTGAAAGGACATTTGACTCCAAAGTCCTAAAAAGAATTAATTGCAAGTTTAAAAATCCTAAGTTTTGTATTACTCTATTTCATCTTTTCACTTGTCAGTGTCCTTTCACAAAAATTTTAAATTTTGCTCTTGTGCATTATATTTACTTCTCCTTTTGTTGTTTATGTCTTTGGTGACCTGCCAACCATTAGACTTCAAAAAACAGCCCATAGCAAAGCTGCAGGAGAGATGAACATATAAGTGGACTTAGAATAGTAAACTATTTCTAGTATACAATTTGTGGGGGTTGGCTTATGACTACATATATTTATACTTGATGGGAGTGTCTTGAGATAAAATTAGAGAGAGTGGGTGGAGTAATATTCACAACATTTTTGTTGCATTCATCCCTGAATTTGAAGTAGCACCAAAGCATGTCTTGTAAGGAAAAAAAATATATAAATCAGTGTAAAATTTTGTGGGTTTTATTCTGTATGCAATGTTAAACTGTGTTTGTGCACACCATAGAAATTAAATTATGGCTATAATGGGTATAACTTGTAGTTAAATACTAATGAGAATAAAATACCTTAATGTACCTCAAATGCAATTAATTGCATTGGACCAATCTAAGTTACTATTCCTCAGTTTTCATCTATTTTTATTCTGATGTAAAAATGAAGCAGGATCTGTGTGAAATTACTTGAATCATTATAATGTCTTTTGAGAATTTTTCTTACCACACTGAAAGATAAATCCCTTAGTCTGGCAACTTTTGGTCTTGGTTAAACCCATTTGGATTTAGCATTGATAGGACCAGCCTAACTTCCCACCACTTAAGATTGCCTGTGCCTGACTAATGTAAAAATATTTAACAACTGTTGAGAAATAGTCATCAGTGAATCTTAAATGTTGTAGTCACATAAAACAATATAGTGCTTTAACTTTTTATTCACTGAATTTGAGAGAAGGGAATAGTGTTTCAGAAACTGGGATCACTCAGGTGCTCAGGGAAGCATATGATTAGTCTCTGATATAAAGGGCGCAGTATTGGAAGAACTGTTAATGTAGTCCCCTGGACACAGTGAGTAAATTATTAGTCCTAGTTGAGAGGTTAAAATGTGTTGATATCATATTATAGATGTAAATGAAATGTTCTGCACCTCTCTCTGCACACTTATTTTTGCATTCAAGGATTGTTAACCTACAGAAAAACAAATACTTTTTTCCTTTATTTTTGTTGTTGGCTTTCTTTCTCTGAACATGGAGGTATGCTTACCGATTTCATTAATTAAAATATCAGAGAAGTTTATTGAGAATCTAATATATGTCACATACTATCCTAGGAGCTATCGACAGAAAAGTACTAAAATTGTGCCTATTTATGTAAATTGTGTTGACTGCCACCCCTAAGTGAGTCTCCCCACACATGCCATCCTGTAATACATGCATCTCGGATGTCTTTTTTTGCCTTTTAAAAACATACATAGAGTTTGACATATGTACATGTTATGTACATATACATATGCATATAAACAATCTCTTTCATAAAATTCACCACTTTATCCTTTTATCCCTATTCCATGGTATTTAGTAGTACCATGTAATGAAGGCAACAAAAGCTAACCATAGCAACAAAATTTTGTTTTAAAGAGCCATCTTGCAACTGCCTGACTGCAGAATGTACTTGCAGATTCTGCAGACAAAAATTGTTGCCACTTATAAAAAGGCTTTATACTGAGAACTGACTCTTTTCTAAACCACTGATTCAAGGACTTTTTCATAGATACTAATGAACTGTTAAGATAACCCTTGACTACCTATTAAAATAACAGGTTGTAGGTGACCTAATGAGTATCAACTTTGTCTTATTATTTTTTTGATTGTCTGTTAAAGTATATGGTCAGAACGCAATGTCAGGTTATTTCTGGAATCTGTTTTTCAGGCTGTCAACAAACTCCTTATTTGGACTTCATTTCTATACCTCTTTGTGACTACATATTCACCTTTCTCTAGTTCCAGAGCATGTTCCATCGTTGCCCAAAAGAAAATGTGCAACCATCAGCAGTGTCTCCCTACAACGTATTTCATCTAGTCCTTAGCAACCATTAATCTGCTTCTGGCCTCTATTCATTTGGCTTTCCTGGCTATTTCATATTCATGGAATCATTCAGTATGTGGCTCTTGTGTGTGATTTTTTCACATAGCATAATGTTTTTAAGGTTCACCCATGTTGTGCCATGTATCAGTTTTCTCTATTTTCATGTCAGGTTTTGAAAAGGTATTTTTTTCACATTTTTAAAGCAATTTCCAGTTGTAGAAAATCTGTTTGTGTCTATGACTGCAAGCTAAGCATTTTATTTGCTATTAATATACATGTTTTAACTTGAGTCAAACAACTCTATTTCCAACTATATATTCCATAAGAAATAGTAAACTTTGTATTTAAATACTAAATATAAGATGACTAAGATACAAATTACAGTTTTCATATTTATCTTTTGATGAATAGATAAATTAATTTAAAAAATTTTCTGATATTAATTTATCATAACATTTATTAACAAAGATTAATAAGCATTGTCCATATCTGGACAAACCAACCACAATTTGGTTACATAAACTCTTTTCATATTTTACAGGATTTTTATTTTATTATCTTAGGAATTTTGTCATCATTCTTATTCAGTCTTGGTGAGACTTTATTTTTATTAATAGGCTCTGTGTCCTATGCAACCCATAGTTGTTATTCCCATTTTGCAAATATGGCATTAAGACAATTTATTTTATTCAAAGAAATAAATTTTATTTATTTTATTATTTTTTATTTCATTATTTCTTTCTCTTTCATTTCATCAAAGAAATCTTGTCATTTCTCATCAGACTTTAAGATTTATTGAGGACACTTATTAACTTGTTTAGTTTGGTAAAATGTGACCTTTAAATTTTGAAGGAGATTGAACTAAAGTAAAAGATGATAAACTGATGGCTCTAATCTATTAGTTGTGAATGGAAATTTAATTTAACTTCTAAAACATTGTTTTTCATATTGCTAGTTGTGTGAAAGTGAACACAATGCCTTAAAAGTATCCCACTATACAGTGTGCAAAGAAGAGAACTGTCTCCCTTTTTCAATGAATCTTAACAGGTCACTGAAAGTGTTTTGAGTTCCTAGGTCACGTGTGTCTGCCTAAATTAAACCGTCTATTTTTAAAAAGTCAAATGTTAGCTATCCTAGAAGTTGGGGATAAAATCGTTGTAAGTATATGCTAATATTCTGATACTTAATTGTTAGCGTCGATAACAGCATAACATTCGTGATTAAATGCTTGGGAAAAATGTGTGTAGAATTTTCAATTAGTGTTTAAATAGAAGTAAAAAAACAGCAATAGCGTTAACTGTAAATTTAATATGCAGTGATGTATGTGTGTGTGCATGGTTAACACAATCAAGTTTTCAGTAAAGTTTCTGAAACATAATATGCGCATGTATTGATAAACTTATCGCTGTTTGTGTCCTCTCACTCTTTAGTGATTGAGTCAATATTGCATTTTTCAGGGTGGGGGATCAGCAGGGCAAGTACTCAGTGTTACTGAATTACTATGTTTTGCTTAAGAATGAATACATTGTCAGGGCAGTTGGAGGTAGGCAGGTTGGGCGGGGTTGAGAGGGGTGCTGGGGGCGGAGAAAAGTAAGTTGCATTACAAAAGTTAAGGTAACAATGAATTTGGTAGAAGTAAATTTGGGATAGTAAAATGAGTTTCCCACTCTGTCATCTTTGAATTTTTCAGTACCCTGCTTGTTTTTGACAATGCAGTCTTATGCTTCCACTATGCTGAGAGTATTTAACTGTGATGAATACAGTCCAGCTGCGCAACAGAATATCCCTGCTTCCGGGAAAAGCTCTTCCGTCGTTTGGACTGAGAACTCTAGCTCAAAGTATCAGTGCGAAACAGGAGAAAACAGTAAAGGCAACGTCCAGAACAGAGTGAAGCGACCCATGAACGCTTTCATTGTGTGGTCTCGTGACCAAAGGCGCAAGATGGCTGTAGAGAATCCCCAGATGCGAAACTCAGAGATCAGCAAGCGGCTGGGATACCAGTGGAAATTGCTTACTGAAGCCGAAAAATGGCCATTCTTCCAGGAGGCACAGAAACTACAGGCCATGCACAGAGAGAAATACCCGAATTATAAGTATCGACCTCGTCGGAAGGCCAACTTACTGCAGAACAATGACAGTTTGCGTCCCGTCGATCCCTCTTCAGAGCTCTGTAACGAAATGCAAGTAGAAGACAGGTTGTACACCTTCTCATACAGGGATAACTGTACGAAATCCACCCAATCAATAATGGAGCACCAGCTAGTCCACTCACCTCCAGTCAACCCAGCCAGCTCACCGCAGCAGCGGGACCGCTACAGCAACTCGACAAACCTGCAGGGCAATCGGGTAACATTGACTACAAAGAGCTATGCAGACTGTCCTTTTTACCGTTAACGTATACCTCTCAGTTTCTTACCTTTGGTTTCAATATTATTTTCTTTCCTCTTGCTAATAAAGGTATTATTCATCTCAATTCTACTGCTATTTCATTTTAAACTTAATTTCAACACAGGTTGTATCAACATGATAACATGCGAAGAAATACCACATCCAGAAGTGATTCCGCTTAGGTTTGCAGCTGTTTAACAGAATACTAACCTGACACTAAGGGACACTGCTCTTTATTTTAAATAACCTAATGAGAAACACACTTGAAAATTATACCAAAAAAAAAAAAATTCACACTTCGATGCAAAACTACCCAACGTTTAAAGCAGTTCTGTCTAGACCGTCAGTTCATTGCTCTTTCAGCTACTTAGCAAGTCGCTGTCAACAGCAGGTAATGGATATGTAAGCTACGTTGAGCTTAAGCAACGGATATGTAAGCTGGATCAAACTTCTTTCTTCTTTTTTTTTTTTGTTTGTTGTTGTTGTTTTGTCTCCCATTCACGAGCTTTACCTCCACTTGAAATTCACTTCCTTCAGTCCACATAAATAAAAATTGTTGATGTTTCCTTTCAGCTAGTTATAACACTTCTTTGGTTAAAAAAAAAAAAAAAAAGAAAGAAAAGAATCTTTAACTCTGTCATTTTTCTATCTCTGACACTCGCTGTTTTGCTGTTCTTCTAAAAACTGTCTCTTAAAATGGCAATCTACTTGTTTCCATGGCCTGCTAGCTTTTAATCTTATGGAATGAAAAATACAGATGCAATGTTCAGAATACTGACTACCCAGATTGTGGACACGGAAACACAGTGTTTATTTTGATGAGATTTAAATGAAAACGTCATGCCAACACTTTATAAAATTTGCATTAAGCTAAAGCAGAAAACTAGAACTTTACAAAAAACTGTAAACTACAGTTTAAAGTGAAAATTACAAGGAAATTTTTCTATAATACAAATAAATCGAAAGTCAAAATTAATATTTTGTATCAAACTCAACTTTCCAATATTCCAAAACTTTTCAGACCCACTACCTCAAATAACAAAACTCAAACACCAAAAGAGTATGTATTAGAGATGGATATCATGTTTCTCAAAATTCTAAAAAAAAAAAGTTGTTCATAAACTACTTTATTCCAGAGGCAATATTACTTAATCTGAGCTTTATGTGAAGTGAGAACTGTATATTGCCCATTACCTTTTAGACACTGAATCAAAACTACTTGGTAATATTTAAAACCACTCTTTTCACTCTCTTAAAAATAACACACACCTTGACTTTCATTACCATACATGAATTTTCCTTTTCTTAAACTCCTAATGCTGAGTCTCTGTTTGATCAAACGTTAGTCGGGTTTCTGAACACAGTTTTGGCAAAGAACCCTGCAAAGCTAGGTTAGCAAGACCCCAAAACCATATCTGATCACCCTCAACACTTGACAACCCTCAATATCTGATGGGGTTCCTCATCCTCCACCACCCTTTATGTGATGTCTGATCAGCCTGGGCTGCCTTCAGCAGAATGCTCCTTACCTGTGATTTCTTCTTGAAGTGATTTTCCACCTACTAATCCTACTCCCTGCTATTTGGGTATAAATCCCCAACTGTCCAGCTGTATTTGGGTCTGAGCCCAATGTCTCTCCCCCACTGCAAGACCCATTGCTGTGGTGATGGTCCTGAATGGCCTTCCTTACCAAGTTTTAACAAGAATCACTGAATAATTTTTTTAACATTATGAATAAATATAAATATGAAATATTATGCCTAATTTCTTTTGTTTAACATAATTTGGTGGTTTTCAGATTATGAAAAATGTTTGTTTTCATGTATGTATACATTGTCAAATGACTAGATCAAGCTCATGTATCTACTGCCTCACATATTTCCCTTTCTTTTTTCATTGGGAACATTTAAATTGTACTCTTAGCAGTTTTCAAGCATACAATACATACTTATTAACTATATTCACCGTGCTCTACAATAAATCTGAACTAATTGCTTCTATTGAGATAAAATATTATAATTTTTGAAAAATAATACTAATCTCTCCACCTGACCCCACTCTGGAGTAGACACCATTCCACTCTCAAAAATATGAAAGGCTTCATATTTGAATACCCTCCTGGCACAGGGCAGTGCTAATCTTCTCTGCGTCTTTCTTTTTTTTGAGACGGAGTTTCACTCATGTTACCCAGGCTGGAGTGCGATGGCGCGATCTAGGCTCACCGCAACCTCCGCCTCCTGGGTTCAGGCAATTCTCCTGTCTCAGCCTCCTGAGTAGTTGGGATTACAGGCACGCACCACCATGCCCAGCTAATTTTTTGTATTTTTAGTAGAGACGGGGTTTCACCATGTTGACCAGGATGGTCTCGATCTCTTGACCTCATGATCCACCCGCCTCGGCCTCCCAAAGTGCTGGGATTACAGGCTTGAGCCACCACGCCCGGCTTCTCTGTGTCTTTCTAATTTTAGTATATGTGCTGCCCAAATAAGCATTTTTAACAAAAAAATTGCTGTGTGTATTTAATTCTATTATTATTGGACAAAATGAATAGACACTGCCTGGTTTCAGTTACTACAAAGAGTGCTGTTCTTTGAATATTCTTATTCATGTCCAAGGGAGAACATTTATAAGAATTGTAAATGTTCATTACTTCATTTCAGTAATTCCTAAATAAACATACGTGAAGCATCAATTCCTCTCCTGTGATGCACCCTCCCAGGACAGGAATTGATGCTTCATGTACGTTTATTTAGGAATTACTGAAATGAAGCATTTTTAAAATTTTGTGATATTCAAACAAAAATTCTAACTATAAGTATCAAGTAAGCTTTGGTTCCCAATAGATGTTTGCTATATTTTAAAATGGCAACACTTAAAATGCACTAACAAGGAGATTGGGACTGAACTAAGAATATGGGCTCTAGAAGGTAAACTCTTGAGTGCCACTTACAAAGCCTAAGCTTGAATAATTTACCTGTCTGAGTCTCAGGTTTATCAATTCTGCAGTGATTTTGTTAGTTAAAACACTATTTACTAACATAAACTACGCCAAGAAGAGATGTGGCTACATAAATTAAAGCACACAAGTATTAAATGAGTGTATTTAAGAAATACTTAGAACAGATATCAGCATTAGTGAAGAGCTAACTAAATATTTGCTGTCGTTAATCTGAAAGTAATTGCTGTATCTATAAAATATCTTAGTGAGAGATTAATATAGATATCCATAACTGATGAAATAGGTATATATTTCATTCAGCATTGAATTAGGTAATGTTTTCTCCAAAAATGTGCAATGTCATTGTTTTACTGATGTGAAATATATGTATTTTCCATATTTGTTCCAAATCTGTTCCACACAGATGTTTTCCTACAGAGTATAGAAACAAATTAAAGGGTAGTTAATTCAACAGAGTTCTAATGTTTCGAGAAATTTAATTAATATTTTATTTCATATTGGATTATGTAATAATGTAAAGAATAAAAATCTTCATGAGATATTGTGCACAGATCTTTCATTTATAGATGCATGAGTTTTGGCAAATACTATTCCTTAGTAACTATCACCCCAACTAGGTTACAAGCCATTTGCATCATTCCTTCAACACTTAAAATTTCCTTTCCCCCTTGGCAATTCCTCTGTCGATTGTATGATTTCTATAATGCAATTGAGAGATCAATTTTAACTTCATATCAACAGACCTATATTCTGAAGTGTGCCTAGCTTCTTTGATTCGGCTTGAAGTTTGGATCAATTTACTGCAGCTCGTGTACACTCTTGGTGAACACTTGGTTATTTTCAGGTGGAGGCTTTTATTAATAAAGCTGCTATCAACAGTTAAGCTCAAGTCTCTAAGTGGACATCTGTTTTCAGTGTACCTGGGCCAACACCAAGTAGTGAAATTTTCAGCTCATGGAGTAGCTGAATAGTTAATTTTATGTGTACTTTACCTAGAATTTTCCAGGGTTTTTGTGCTATTTTGTACTGCAACCACAATGTCTGAGCTTTTCATTGCTATACATGCTCAACAAAATTTGGAATTATTAGTGTCTCAAATTTTAACCATAGAATGAAGGTATGTAGCTAAAATAATTAAAATGGTTATAAAAATACACTTGATTTTCTGCTGGAACAATTTCCCCTCATTACTCTTCCTCCTCAGAATTTCTAAGTTATAATCAGTTTTTTTTGTTAAATTTGAATGTTACTGATGTTCTTTAAAATCTCTATGCTGTTTTCAAATAACCAGAAAGTTCTGCTGGTATTTAGACTGAGATCATATGAAGTTGATAGGTTAGAGTAGGGAAATTAACAGAACTACAAATATGTTTAGTGAAAACAGCATCAAAGAAGAAGTTCTAGATTGCTGCTTGTTAGAGTTTAAAGGTGTTTTTCATATTTGTCCAGAAAATTTTTGTAGTCCTAAAAGTATGTAATTTGAGTGTTCCTTGTTGCAAGTAAGAAAGTGACCCTTCCTCCTACTTTTCATTAGAGCACTGCCTTTAGATAACTAAGATTTTCCCCCTGTTTTCTTTGAGGTGTATATACATCATCTTAAGAACTAAGCCTCTTGGCAGGATGGCATCCCAACAGGTTTTTCTTGATGGTGTTCAGCCTTCTCGTTGAAATGTCAAGAGTGTCCCAAGTCCCCTTGTTTTCCCTGACCAAGTTGAAGGTCAGGCTGCTATTTTTTTGTGGCTCAATAATGAGATGTAGATGACCTGAGAAGGAAGAGAGTTTTATTTCTGTAAGTAGTCAGAGGGAGAAGGCATGTAGAGAATATCAGCAGACACACTCAAAATGGCAAAATTTTCCAGAGCTTGTATACCTTCTAGACTATATGTCTATATGTAAGTGTACATTTATCTAAAGACACAAATGATTAATTTCTTTGTATCTGTAACTAAGATCTGAGTCCTGAAGACCTTCCTCTGCGGTGTCAGTAAATTTGCTTAATCTACATAGGTCCAGGTGGTAGGCTGATTACCCTTATCTTGTCTCTTGC